ATTATAATTTACTTATTTAATGTATTCTTGATTAATTTTTATTCTTGATATAGTCTGAGCCATTTTGCAAACCGGTGGATCTTATAGAAGTATCGAACTACCTGGAATACGTTATCAAGCCGATGGACTTGAGCCTTTTGGAATCGAACGTGCGGGCTAAGCTTTACGGTAGTACCGATGCGTTTATGGCCGACGCAAAATGGATTCAACATAACTGCATCGTGTTCAATACGTGTACGTGAATTTGCTGTGCTTTAATTCATGATTTTTAAATCATGAGTATTAAAGGTGAATTGATAAATAAGCTTATCTTTTGTTGATATCTACAGGCGGTGGAGTTTACGCAGATACGTCGAAATTGACAAATGCAGCGAAGCAAATCATCAAAGTAGCACGTCAAGAAATCTCAGAAATTGATGCATGTCCCGATTGCTATGCACATAGTCGAAATTTGCCAAGGCATCAACCTTCGTGGTTTATTGAACCCTGCCGTCGACCTCATCCACTTGTATGGGCCAAATTAAAGGGTTTTCCGTTTTGGCCGGCAAAAGCAATGCCTCGTACGAATTCTCAAGGATACGTGGATGTGCGTTTCTTTGGTGAACATGACCGCGCCTGGGTGTCGCCGAAAGACCTTTTCTTGTACTCTGAAGAGCCACCATCGCCATCTCCTCGTAAACGGAAATCCGACATGGATGAGTGCGTAAAAGAAATTACTCGACATTGTAGAAAACTCGCGCTTATGTTTGGTCAGTTCAAATTTGCTCCACCCAAAATTCAGTACGACCCGAACAATCCGTTGCAGATACGGCTGATGCTACCAAATTACAATCCCCTTGAACCCAAGAACCATCTTCCTAATCCCAAAGTTCCCACATCTCAAAAGAAAAAATCGCCGCAAAAAAGACAAAGTTCTTTTAAAGGTAAATCACAGAGTGACGAATTGACTAACATTAGTGAAATAGATATTGACCCGACAAGTGATGCTTGTGAAAAGGAGAACAAAGTAACATCGCCAAAAGTACAAAAATTAGATACTGATATTAAGCATACTTCAAGCTCGCAAACTGATCTAGATGATAGTAATAAGTTGAATAAGAAAGCAGATCAAGGAATTGTAAAGTCAAACTCTCAAGAAGTTGCTCAAAACAAAACAGTAAAAAATGGAAAATCAAGTAATGCGAAGACATCAACTCCTCGATTAAATGTTGCACACACAGAAACTGATGCCGAAAAGAATAACATAAATCCTAATGCTAGTATCTCAAATAACAGCCTAAGTCCTAATGCTAATATCTCAAACAATAACATAAGTTTTAATGTTAGTATTTCAAATAGTAGCACAAGTCCTAATGTTAGTACTTTAAGTAATAGCACAAGTCCTAATGTTAATATCTCAAATGAGAATAATTCACAGAAATCGAAAAATGAAATGAAATCATTTATAAAAATTTTGCCTAAGCCTGCAATTTATCCAGTTACTGATGCGGTAGTACAGAAGAAATCTCTTTTGAAAAATATTAATCCTAAAATAACATTCTCACAAATAGACAATCCGAAGGTAGTAACAAAGTATGCAAGAAACAACAAAGCATTCAAGCTGAAAACAAGTATTGTTGATAAACTAAACGCAGAGAAAGAATTGATGTCTCTATCCGCGAGCAAAGAAGATGAGAAATTGTCGAATTCAAACAAAGGTGTTCCTAGAATATCACTGTTGAATGATCCATTGAATGTAAAAAACATGCCTGAAATCGATATAACTTTATCGTCTGCATCGAATGCGAGTGTTACTCATACCATTACATCGACGAATCCAGTCGTTCCTATAACAGATAAATCTGTGTTGCTCCTCGTAGTTCCCAATGGAAAACCTACTGATCCTGCGAAACAAATCGCGTCGACGATCGACCTCAATCAAGGTAACAACGAGGGACACCTTAATTCGCCTCAAAAGGCTAAGAAGAGTTTCCCTAAATCTAATACAAAAAATATTCAACATTCGTCTAACGCAGATGGAATTATGGAGATTTCTCCGATTGGCCAAGAAACACCATCTACATATCAGGTGACACCTCCGGAGGCCGGACCGATCAGCGCACGTCTGCATCATGATGCGCATGAACTTGTGAGAAAAATGAGCTATTTAATGGAAGAGGCATACAAGGAGGCAGCCCAGAATAGTATTAACGGTGAGAACGGTACCACTGACAATTATCAGGCGACCATACTTTTCCTGCGAAAGCAGATCGAGCATATGAAGTGGCAACATCAGCAGCAGCTAACTGAATTGAAACACAACGCCGGTATATCAATTTTTTCTTTATTGCAAACAAAATTATTTAACAGTTACCATTAACATAAGAATACTTCAGGAAACATAAATTCCAGATCGTACTCAACGTGAGATGCGCGCGAGTATGGAAGCGGAAAAATTGCGATCGATTGAGGAAGTTCGTAAAGAGATCGAAGATGAAAAGAACCGATGTATCGAGGAAACCAAGAAGAAACAATGGTGTGCCAAATGTGGACAGGAAGCAATGTTTTATTGTTGCTGGAACACTGCTTACTGTAATTATCCGTGCCAAGAGTCACATTGGCCCACACACATGCGGACATGTTCTCAGCAATCTGCGTATGCTACTATTGTCAGTTCAAGTGCAAATTTAAGTTCACAACAGGTAATGACTCGTATTAAATATTAATCACGTTACTTTAAACTTGAAAAATCTAGAATGAATTAGTATAAATCTTAGCGGTCCAAACAGAAAATAATTTGAAAATACTATAACAGAATATTATGTTATTCTAATTTCGAAAAACTTTCCTTCCTCGTTTAATTTTCTTTTTAATAAAAATTCAAAATATTTGCGAAATAAACAAATTTGAATATATGGATAAGAAATACTGTCTAGTCTGATATTATATATTTGTTAATAATTCACATTTTATTGGTCTCTAACAGAATTTCATATTTTTAAACTTACACTGTTGTGTTCTAGACGCTTCAAAGTTGAATTTTAGTTTCAAATTACATTTGCGAATAAATCGTGTTTTACTACGATAGTTTTAAAGTATTAATACTTTTCAGACTAGTTACGTCATTGCTGAGAATTCCGCAACCAAAACGTATCTTCTATCATCCAACATGAAATTGAATGCAATTCCGTCTGCTTCGTCCGTTAATAGAGATAAAACCAGTCAAGATACGCAGTAGACAAATAGCAATTTATTTGTAATCGATTCGGTATCAATGCGAGTAAGATGAAAAGAGTTTCAGTAATATTGCAGGTAAATTCGTGTCTGCAAATAATCAACAAGAGTCTTGATTTAAACTATACTACAATGTTTATTACTTACAATCCGAAATCATATATTTAATATGTAATTTTCTTTTTGGAAAATACTTTCAATTACATAATGTAAATATTCGTAATGCTGTCTTTATAATTTTTGACCTTAGATCAGTACTGATACATTACGAGAAATACGAAGGTAATGCAAATCATTGACGTTTGTAATAAACTTATGATACTTTAATTTAATTAGTATTAAACAGTGATAATTTAATAATTATAGGAAAAGTATGAGAGATATAATAAATACTATGCTTAAAAAGAAATGTTAGATATTATTAGATATGGGCCGACAATTTTTTGTAATATAACAGTTATACATATATTATGTTTAATGTATCTAACAATGGGAATATACAAAGTTTTGTTTCCTTCGATTAGACTGAATTATACATATGTTCATACACAGCACAGCGCACACACACACACACACACACACACACACACACACACACACACACACACACACACACACACAATAGTTCAGCCCTCCAACTAATTCGTATTTAAATTATACGACGTGCTTCTCAAGTATCAATACTGCAATTCTATAGTATATGTTATGTGCATTATAGATTTCCAGCTCTCTAGTAGTGAATATTGGAACGCAGCCTCACTAAAAACGTCTGACTATAACGTTGCGGAGAGAGAGGAGGAATCTTTAAATCTTATTTTAAAAAAATTTATTTCTCATCTGCATTGTGAATGTGTATTTTTTGATATTTGATTTGAAAAATTAATGTTTAAAGATTATTAAACATTCATTTTTTAGGTCAAATATTAAAAAATATACATACACAATAATAGGCTGCATATAAAAAAATTTGTAAAAATGAAATTCAAACCCAAGGTTTTGCATTGTAGTTAGCCTTTACTGACTACGCCGTGGCTCTTATTTGCTTCGTTCTTACTGATCAGCACATTCTGAACATGTAAATTTTTAACACGATTGCTTGAGAGGTGCGTAGGATAATTTTCACACGAATTAGTTGGAGAGCTGAGCTATTATACATATAAAATTCAACCAAATCGGCGGAAACAGAACTTGGTGTTTCACTTGTAAGTATTGTAACAACCTTGTTTGGAATTTGATAACGCTACTTTTCTAACTATAACACTAACCACATAACTTCTCAGTTCCTCTACAGATAAAATTGGAAAACACGAGATAAGAGATAAAAATTATTTTTTCAATAAAGCTTTATGACGTAAACAGTATAAACACATCTCTGGCATAGGATAATCGACATTCTCGTGAAGAACATGCATAAGCATTTATTTCGGTAAAATCTGACACATGTAGACACAAATAATGTTCAATGCGTTTATTAATAAATCAAGTAAAGATACGCAAAAATGTATATTGGACATGCTTCTCACAACGTTCCTTTCCCATCAATTTAAACATGTCTACAAAACAACCCAATATAACTCATTTTTTTATCTTTATTCTTCAAAGAAAATTTTCTTTTTCAGATTAAATGCAATTTGTAATTATTTTACGGTTTCGTTTTGCAGCTGTAAAATAATTTGGAAATATATGAGAATTAAATACAATAAATACCAAAAAATATGTGGATATATTTAAAATCTCGCGCCTATGATGCAGCAATTATTTCGCCCAATATGGCGAACGGAAGTAGACGTCACCCAGTGCCAACTGCCAGCCAACGGGGCTCTGTGGTCGGGCTGCTCTCTATCTTTCTATGGGAGGAAAAGCACTTTTCTCCGTCCCCGCGGCCTCCGTACATTTTTTTTCATAGTGAGTACGTGAAACATACATCAACTACGAGTAACGGGCCTTCGGCCGTTGCTTTTTAACGTAACGCGCGCGATTCTCCATAAGATTGGCCATCAATCTCGCGTCAATCTTCTCGTTGATTTGCGAGAGAGAGACAGAGAGAAAGAAAGAAAGACATCGAGAGGAGCTAATAATCGTCTATTGTCAGTAAACAAGAGAGCGAGAGAGAAAGATAGACGGAGATCTGGTGAGCCGTTGTCTTGGGATAATAAATCGCTCGTCAATCATATGGCGAGAAAGAGAAAGAGAGAGAGAAGAATAGCAAGTCGTCATAGATTCCACATCGCAGTTCCATTCCATTCCGCCTCGTCTGCACTTTTCTACACTTGTCACGAGTAAAATTAAATATCTGTCTAATTAGACTGTCAGCGAAGAACACGAGGCCTCCAGGAAGGTGGAGAGAGGTGCAGCCGAGAGGAATCGGATCGCAGGGATACGCGAATGCGTGCGATGAGCTCGACGACGACGATGACGACCTCGCATCTCGCTTCCTATTAGAAAGTTCAAGGTTGCGAGGTCGGATTTAAACAGTCAGTCGATCGAGTCACGTTGTTAGACTGTGATCTCTCGTTAATTTGCTTTGCTATTGTTGCAGAGTCATTCGTTAGTTAACTCATACACAGCACAGTCGACGTCACATAATCGCAGCTATAAATATGTTTATTTGGGATTGGTTCGCCGGAGTGCTGAATTATCTCGGTGGGTAGAACTCTTTTTCTCGCATTAATTACATTAATGCATGTAGGTAGTAAGTATATTGTCTCCTAATCACTCTCTGCTCGTACCAAGATTCAATCTTATTACAAATATAATTATAATAAATTGCTTTCAGCAGAAGAAGAAGCTTTACAACTGTTGTAAAATTGTTTAATATGATTGGTTTATACATTTAGATCCAGTGAGGAATTAAAGATTAAGAACCACAATCATATATTAAGGAATCTTACAACGCTTGCAAAATTGCTTTCTGCTGAATGCTAATATTTAGAGTATTCAGAAATTATAAATATCTATTATGTTACACTGAGGAGATTCTGTTATTAAAACAATTTTATCTAGAATACAATTTAAATAATTTCATTGAAAAAACAATTGTAAATCTCTTATAATAATTGTACAAGCTCTTTTACTCAAAATTATTTTTAAGAGGATAATATTTGTTAAATATGTACATGATACACTTATCATATTTGTTATCTGACAAAGTAGGTAGATATTTATAATTTATGGAAATTTCGATATTGGTTTATTTCATTCCATGTAACATTTCTTATTAGCAGCGTAAATTCATATGAACATTCTATTTCTTAACAAATTTGTTGTACATTTGATCTGTATGATCTTGTTGGTTTCAGGACTATGGAAGAAGAGTGGCAAACTTCTCTTCCTAGGTTTGGATAATGCGGGTAAAACTACGTTACTTCATATGCTCAAGGATGATCGTTTAGCTCAACATGTACCTACATTACATCCAAGTAATTATACTTCTGTATAAACTATATATCTTTATTACTGCAACAAATAATGAAAATCAATATTTCACTGAGTTATTAATGATCCTTGTTTTAGCATCTGAAGAATTGTCTATCGGAAATATGAGATTTACAACTTTTGATCTTGGAGGTCATACTCAAGGTATGCAAGGAAAATGTACATCTTATGTTCCTTTTATCTTATTGTAAAATAATTGCTCATAATGTTGCAAATTGTATCTCTACAGCACGTCGCGTATGGAAGGATTATTTCCCAGCTGTTGACGCAATAGTATTTCTCGTCGACGCAAGTGACAGAACAAGATTACCAGAATCAAAAGCCGAGTTAGATGCGTTGTTAACTGACGAGCAACTTAGCGCGTGTCCGGTTCTCGTACTAGGCAATAAAATTGACAAACCATCCGCAGCTTCTGAAGATGAACTCAGAAACTTCTTTAATCTGTACGGACAAACAACAGGAAAGGTATTTCCATGCAAATCAAAATAGTAATTCTCTATATTAATATAAGAACTACTGTACTAGAAAGAGATAAAATTTTTATCGGCTTTTCATTAAGAAATGTAATTGAAAATTTGTAGGGTAAAATTGCTCGCAGTGAAATACCCGGCCGTCCACTGGAACTGTTTATGTGCTCAGTTCTGAAGCGGCAGGGATATGGGGAAGGCTTCCGTTGGCTTGCACAGTACATCGATTGAACGTACATATTATTATACACATGACAGATTCTCAACAGTTTCATCATTTCCTTTTCCTATGGTACCGGTATCGCTACTGGAATCTTCATATTGTAGGATATCAGGATGGAAAGGAAGTTCTCCGTAGGTTTTACCAAAATTATTACTAATGTCTTAAGATTCACAAATGAAATAAACTTTAATTTTCATACTTCCGACAATACAATTTCACTTTGAGAGGTCTACAAAAGCGACGGTGGGCTTATATGTTACTAAACTCGCGTTCTGTGACAAATCGTCCCGTTCTCCGCTCATGCTCCGGCTTTTGACAGCTTGGCTGTATATCCGAGCGCCGCCAATTTCCATCGTTACAACTAGGTTCGTTACGTTCGGTGAATATAGTTATATCGTACGCGGAACAGATGTCACTCTGTGTTTCTTAGCGGCAGATGTAAATCACTGAACTCTATAGAGTTCAGTGATGTAAATACCTACAGGCGGCTTACATTAAATATCTTACAATATGAATTCAGCAGTAGGAGAGGAAACATTGTTCATCGAAAAAAA